AGAGTATTTGTAGAACTGTTCTCCTAATCCTAAACAATAAGACCGAAAAGAGAAGGCCGACGAACAAAAATCCATAGCAGATATTCAAGACATTCTAATAATGCTCACTAACACCAAATCTTAATAGTTTAGTAATCCTTTACTCAAGAAAGTCAATATCTACGACACGAATTCAAAACTCTCTCAAATGAAGATCAGTAAATCATTAACAAAACGCACGCAGGTGAGGAGGATATATTTTACACCAATAAATAGAAGTAACACAGACCTTAAACAACGCATTTTTTCTAAAAAGAAAGGAGTCGGGTAACTACTCGCTCTAACGTTCACACCATTCATTTCATTTGCTTTGATTTTGAGTGTTTTTTTTATCATTTCATTTTGGGTGTTTGGTTGAGAACTGTATATAACATTTGTCCGTACATGGGATATTAATTATATGGTAATTATGCCTCTAGAGTTGGTAAAATTGTTTCACAGAAGTCCACTCAATCGTACACAAATTCTGAGGAAGATTTTGTCAAGTGATCCTTGTTTTGTTTACTCAAGATAATTAGTATCTTAATTACATCCAATCATTTCAACTGACGATAGCCTTTTTTAGGCAAATCTTCCGTCCAAGAGCGGTCGATCGGACGCTCCCGCTCAATTCAGGGATCGTTTAAAGACTGCCAGTTCTCTTGTGCTTTACCAGTCAATTAGCCAACTGATAAACAGGAAGTGGAGAGAAGGAAAAGTAAGAACAGAAAAATCAACTTAAATATTGAATGAGTATTACTTAGTAATTTCTACACAAGGAGTCCATAATTAGCTGGATATTTATCTTTGTGTGTATTATACATATAAATGACTCGGTGATTGTAAAGGACATTGCGTTAGTGTGATTTTATTGTCCGGAATGCAGGATGACATTTTTTACTTGATCAATTTTACCTCGCTCTTCTTGATATATAAGGCCAAGTCCAATGCAAAACCCCAAATTCGGAGGCCTTGATCCCCAAATTTGGGGATTGATCCCCAAATTTGGGGATTGATCCCCATTTTCTCTTCTTTTGCTGGCTAATTAGCATAAATGGTAATAAATCTTTGCACTTAGTACAAAACGGTTACAAATCTTTAATTTGTAACAATACGGTAACAAAACTTAGAAATTGTATAAAATGGTCACCGCTATTTAATTTGTGACCGTTTTGTTTTAAGTGCAAAGGTTTGTTACCGAATCGTTAAAAATTAAATGTTTGTCATGTTTTGAGGTCGGGTAGTTTGTTTGTTAAGTATATGACACTAACCACTTGAACGACATATAAGATGTCAGGTCATGTGTTCATCGACATATTTGCTTTGCCGAATAAGAATGCCCTTTGTTGACCTTTCAATTTCGATACTAAGAAAGTAAGAAAGTAGACAGAGTTTTTTCAACTAAAAAGCAGTCTGGAACCCGTTTGTGAGCCATTGAATTCTCTCATTGTCATCCTTTATGACGATCATATCATTCACATACATTAATAAAACCACCATACAACTAGAGCGAATTGTAACGGTGATTGAGCGTTCAAACTTTTGAACTTAATTTGTACAAAACGGTCACCAAAAGTCTAATTTGCAACGACACGGTAACAAAAGTTTGAACTGTTATGAAATGGTCACATTGTTTAATTTGTGACCGTTTTGTTCTAAGTAAAAAGTTTTGTTATCAAATGGTTACAAATTAAAAGTTTGTGACTGTTTTGTACTAAGTGCAAAGGTTTGTGACCATTTATGCTAATTACCCTTCTTTTGCTCCAATGCTTCAATCTCCATATTTGGGGATTTTCATTTTTCTAGTTTTTCCATTTACTTAAAAATGTACTTATTGTAGCCTTAATATAATTTATTCATGTTAATATTTGTACAATTCGTCATCATTTTTAAATGCAAATTTTTCGATAGAATTTTGTTAAATTCCGAGTCGGGATTTTTTTGGCAAAAAAATATGTACCTAATTTGGGTTTACACACAACACTTGAAAATTATTGATCTAATTAAATCACTAACTAACCCCCTAATTAAACTCCCAATTAACCCATAAAATCTTAAAAAGAAAAAGAAAAGCCACGTGGCAGGCTATGGTGAGTCTCTATATTTGGGGACCCCCATTTCCAGTTTTCCACCCCCAAATTTGGAGTTCCATTTGCAGGATCCTCCATTTTTGGAGGCCCAAACCTTCCCATTGGACCATCTCCTCCTTCATTTTTGCAGATTCCCCCATAAATGGGGTGCCCATTGGACAGCCTAAGGGTTCACCTACTTTGAGCCATCCACTAAGATCCTCATTATTGACAGCCACGAATATCATGAAAGGGGCTCGAACTTTGAACCTCACATGTCCAGAGCGCCCCAACGAGGGTTCACCAATCGATTTTATATATATGACATTTGGCAAATGTGCATATATTTCAGAAGCAATTGATTGTTCACGTACAAAATACACAAACGGTATTCAAATGACTTGATTTGGGTTTAATCTTCGCCGCGGATTCCTCCTTAAACTCCTCGAATTATTTTCTGAACAAAACAAAGCACCGCTTCAATTTATTAAAATTGGTCCATGGATTATGGAACCGACTCCTTTATCGTTCCAACGAGTATATGGCTGTACCTGGAATTAAATTGCCAAGTTCCCATTTCTACAGATATCCCATCTCTTATATGTTCATATGGAGAAGTCACAATTTTATCTTAATATTCCTATAATTAATTTAAATTACTATGAGAGACTTCTTGATATTTTCAACTATTATATATCTCGCAACCGCCATGCAAATCATCGAACAAAAAGTCTACACAATGAACAAATATTTTTATAGAGTGATCATGCCTTGTAGTGGATTAATTGAGCTAGCGCTGACAACTTACTACCCATTTATCAAGTATTTTGATATTAAAATGTCATCATCATCTTATTCTAATTAATTAATCGGTTCATGAGATACAAATTACATGATAAAATTGAGATCCACCCCGACTCGAGTACTACAGGCATTCGTCTGCTCTCCACGACTCCAATGTTCTTTTGATTTTTCACGAGTTTTAAAATATTTATTAGGACATTCGAGTTGCTCAAGACCTTTGGTCTCTACTCAGATCCGCTGGAAAAAAAATTGGGATCACCTATTATGGGCTTGTTGAGAATGGTTATGATCTAGTTCATGGCCTATTAGAATTAAAAGGCGCTCTGGTGAGATCCTCACTGATAGAAAAAAGATTGAAATCAGTTTGATATACTGATGATCGAGTGACATTACTTCTTCGATCCTGTCGTATAGTGTTTTTTTTTTAAATAATCTAGGGGTCACTCTCCTAGTGCGCTATTATATATTATGGAGATGGTGAATGCCCTAGAAGGATATGGTACAACGGTGACCGCAGCCATTGATATATGGAAAGTCAGGTCAGGTTGAGACCTTCTTGTTCTTGTTCTTGTTCTTGGTCATGCCTTGATCTCAAGTCTGCAGATGATGCATTTCAGCAGATACATTTTGTAGCTCTGCCAATACGGTCGATATACAAACAAACGCCTTTTTTGAAGCAGAGAAAGAAGCCACACGACCCATGAAAACAGCAGCTACGTAGCTTGGCGGCGACAGCATCACAATTCCTTCACAACATTAATCATAATTAATTATCAATAATTCAACCCTCCAACTAAATTAATTAAGCCTCCAGCGGCTTCCTACCTAAAGGCCCCGCTGGTACGGTTGAAACTTGAAAGCAAATTATTTAATTCAAACCCAACTATGCAGCTACCACACGTAATCTCGCTGTATGTAGTTTTAGTTTTCATCAGAGAGTAATTAGTACTTTGTTATTTTATTATATATTTTGAATGATCAATACGCCAATAATTCTCAGGGGAATCACAGTACCACTGCTGCACCAACACCACACGGTTTTTGGGCAGAGTGGATTATGTCCTTAATCAAACAATAGCTAGCGTAGTGATTAGAGCATAATTAGGATCCTTAATCCACTACTACCAACTCAACGTAATCATCATCACCCTCTTTTCCGTTCGGATGCAATTGTTTTGTGTATAAAATCCTAGCGCGGCACCGACACGGGTGGGTTCTCTCTGTCCAACTTAGCTAGCTCAACCCAGTTGTCATTCCACCGTCGACATCCTGTTCCAAGTATATACTAACTGAAAGTCCCTAAAAACTATCAGAATTCATGCAAATTAAAACTAAAAAAAAAAATAATTATGGGGTACACGAATTTCAAGGTAAAACACCTTTTGCTTGGAGCTAGCATGACTATTTTAGTTAAAATTATCGGAAATTTTGTATCGTCTCTTGATATGCAATGAGATCATCATCAACTTTGCTCGTCTAGCGCTATCGACTTATTTCTCGCGTACGTACGGTGTTATGTTCTACTCCATTATTATTGCATTGAAGTGATTTAACTAGTTAATTGCTACATACTGATCAAATTCTAGTAAATTCACTTCGACAACTTCTTGTCAATCCTTACCACGTCTAACACAAGCGTAAAACTTCGTGAATTATTTCATCACCCACGGGGAGAGTTCTCTTGTATGGATACGAAATGAGTGTTGTTTTGCAACCGGTTGAAAACAGAAAACACTATTATACCAGTTGAACAATTCTACGTAATTAGTAAACTTCGTCATCATTATGGCCAAATCCCCCACGGTAAAGGTTGTCAGTTGTCACTCTGTTCCGTATTTTATAATCCCAGAAATGGAGAAAAAGAAAAGTATCCTCCTCCCTCACTCCTCAGGGCTCAGAGACAGCCAAAAAAAAATCCAATCTACATAGAAATTTCCAGCCAGCCAATCTCTCTCTATAAATACCCCCTTCCTCCTTCCTTCTCTCTTCAGCACCTCGACCTTTTAATTTACTCCCAAAACAGAGTTTCCTCTCCTTCATCACATCTTCTCCTCTCCCCTTTCATTCACTTCTTTCTCCACATCAGAAAGCCAGCCACGCCCACGCGCCATGGGAAACTGCTTAGCCCCTAACAAGAAAAGGTCCCAAGTCCACGAATTCCAAGAAGAACACGACAGTAAGGTGAATTCCGACAAGACGATGAAAACAGAGGAAACAGAAACAGGGGATGTTCCTACGAACAGCGACGGAACCGACGTCGGGACGAAAGTGAAGATAGTTTTGACGAAAGAGGAGCTCGACTGGCTCATGTACGAGCTCAAGGTGAAAAACAGCAGCGGCGGCGGCGGCGGCGGATCCACGAAGAAGCTTGAGGATGCTCTGGCGGAGATCGAGAGAAACAGAGCAATGAAATCGGCCAGCGTGAACAGCTGCTGGCAGCCTTCTCTGGAGAGCATTAGTGAGTGCCCTGAAGATGTTGGATCAGGGAGATATTATTAGGATCTGTGATTGATCAAAATCATAGTCTTTTGGCCCCTTTTTCTATGGGTTTTTTTTTTCTTCTTCTTCTTCTTCTTCTTCTACATGTTTTCTTGGGGAACCTCTGTTTTCTTATCTTCGCCGGTGACCTGTTTTTTTCAATGTGGGTTTTGGTGGTAAACCCTTTTGAAATTTTTACGATGCATATGATGTATAAAGAAAGATCGGAGTATTTTTTTTATAGAAATTATATATATTTTTATAGTCTGAACGAGTAGAAATGATATGTTTTTCACCGATTTGAACATAAAGTTATTCGCAGGTATCATATCCTACGAGCATCATTATGTTGCGAGCGACTTGATTCATTTGCAACCTTAAACAAAAACTATCTTGAGCACCATCTCCTTGAAGTTCTAGGGTCAAACCTCGAAATTCTGGTTAAAAACAGGATATCCGAACAAGTCAGTTTATTAATCTCTTGTAACTCTTTTAGAAATTACATATTCTATTTGTTGTTAAATACTTAAATGGTTTGTATTCACTTGTCATCTATGTTTGCATTAAATGCGAAACTTATAAAAGATTCAAATTTAGATGGAAATTCAGATTTATTTACTCGTTTTGTTTGCACAATAGTGATTTGCTTATACAAACTTTGAATTTATGAATTGGCATAAAATTCATTCTCGAATCTGAACTTGGATCATTTGAATGAACTGATTCGGTATTACAAAACTTCATGGATTCTCGGAAGCCATAGCCCATAAGTGGTCATATTAGGAGAAAGAAAGAGAGGCGAGCCATATTAATATGGCCATGGGTAACCAAGAAAATGTAAGGAATCAAAGCCAAATCAGGTTTGGAAAAGGATCAATTATTTGTGGGGTCTCTTTGCAAAGGAGAAAACAGAGCCTAGTATTTATGAAGAATTGCAAAGTATAAATCCACCGAATTTGTTGTTGATGGTTAGTAAGATGGTATCCATGTGTTTTCTTTTGCTGCGAAAAAATGTTTTTGAGAGAGTCTCAGCCGTCAATTCTTATGGTTGTTTTTTTCAAGTTTAATAAATGTTTCTGTCTCCTGAAATTCAAGCGAACTTGGAATTCACTTGGTAAGCAAAAGAAGAAGAAAAATGATTCTCTCTGAAAAGGCGATTAAGAAAAGGGGCGATACTTGGCAGCAACCCAGGTTGCAGCCCATAGCTGCTGCCAGGCCAGGTGGTGCTTCCTGATTGGGCTACCATTAATATTATTTTTTAATTACTAACTACAATAACGGAGGAACGGAACGGTACAAGACTTCCGTCAATTCCATTTTTTATTGGGATTAACGGTAAGGTGCAGCAGCTCCCAAATATCATAGCTTGCCTTAGACTAACTCCAACCCTTGCTTGCAAATTTGGAGAAAGGCTATATTTTGCCTTTTTTCATCTCCAACCCATCAATAACTTAGCTTCCAAATTTGGAGATTGGGGTGTTGGGGTGGATAGGTAGCAGCTGGAAGGGGGAAAGGGGGCAAATATACCAGCTGGAAAGGGGACCTCGCCTGCACGCGGGGTCCCCTGCTGCTGCTTTTTTTTTTTTCATTTTTTGTTTGTATTTATTTGTGTGGGTGTGTTTGCGTTTTAGTTTGTGTGGGTGTGTTTGCGTTTTAGTTTGTGTGGGTGTGTTTGCGTTTTAGTTTGAAAGAAGTAATATAGTGACAATAAAACGGTCACATTGCAACAGACACATTTTAACGGCCATAAAACGGTCATATTTTTTTTTCTATATAATGAGTAACTTCTCATGGTTTTTCTGCACTCATTCTCAAATCAATCTCTCTCATTCTCTTCTATTTATCATCTCTCAAAACAAAAACATGTCAAGTAAGAGAGGCCCCAATTGGAAAGCTCATGAAGATGTAAACTTGTGCAAATCTTGGATATCAATATCTGAAGATGGAGCGGTTGGCATCAATCAAAAGAGCACGAGATTATGGGAAAGGGTGGAGAGGGAATTTCGAAGAAGCGATCCTCATACAATTCGTACTACGGATTCAATGGAATCCCGACTGAGACTTATCAGTAACAAGTGTAAAGTTTGGAAGGGAGCTTTGCAGAGGGCGGAGAGGAGTCAAACGAGCGGTACCAACCAAGTTGATGTGGTATTGTTTTGGAAACTTTAACTTTTGTATTTCTTATTTTTATGTATACTTATCTAACTTGTGTATTAATAATTTTGATAGGAATTTGTAGCAAGGAGAATATATAAGGAAGAGAATGGGGACAAAGCCTTTGAACATGAGCATTGTTGGGTCATCCTTCGAAATTGCCCAAAGTGGTATTGTGACCCTCAATTGGTTGTTGGTCCAATTCCACCTATGGGTCAAGGTTCTCAAAGTTCTCCCACAGGTATTGGTTCTCAATCCTCCCCTGTGGAAGGCCTCGACGACATACCAGACGAGGGAGCTACGCCTTTCGTGCTGTCTCGCCCTGAAGGACGTTATTGAATCTTTTGACTAACTACAAAACACACTTTATTGAAACATGAAATACAATCACACACTGAAACTTGAAATACAAACTACCAAACAAGCAATACAATCCATAATTAAACAATACTAGTTATTGCCCTGCAAATTCCAAAGATGCTCAACCAAGTCATTTCGAAGCGCATGATGTGTTGTTGAGGAGCGAAGCCTATTATTTCTAGCCAAATAATCAACCAGAGTTGGAACGTGTCGGTTGATTGGTTGAGGTTGTTCATGGACCTCATAATCAAGGTCATCATCCATCTCATCATCAGAATCAACTTGCTCATCCTCGATTATCATGTTGTGTAATATAATGCACGTTAACATTATATTGTTCAGGGTGACAACATCCCAAGCTCTTGCAGGGCCACGAACAATTGCCCATCTTGATTGGAGGATTCCAAATGCCCGCTCTACGTCTTTGCGGTGTGCTTCTTGACGTTGAGCAAACAAAGCCTCTTTGTTTGACCTTGGATTGCTGAAGGTCTTCACTAAAGTCGACCATGAGGGATAAATACCGTCGGCCAAATAATAGCATTGATCATAAGCATTGCCATTTACCTCAAATCGTACATGTGGAGCGCTTCCATTGACAATACGATCAAACACTGGCGACATCCCCAGAACATTTATATCGTTGTTCGATCCAGGAGATCCAAAGAAAGCATGCCATATCCATGTGTTGTAGGAGGCCACCGCCTCTAGAATGATTGTTGGCCTATGCATATGGCCGATGTATTGTCCTGCCCAGCCACTTGGACAATTCCTCCATTCCCAATGCATACAGTCAATTGATCCAATCATTCCAGGAAAGCCACGTCTTGAGGCTTTACTGAGTAAGATCCTTAAATCGGCAGGAGTAGGTGCGCGAAGATATGTGGCCCCATACATGTTGATAATGTTGTTGCAGAACTTTCTGAAGACCTCCATCAAAGTGCTCTCACCCATACGAACATACTCGTCAAGTTGATCAGCTGGAGAACCATATGCTAGCATGCGCATCGCACCAGTAAGCTTCTGCTCTGGAGATAATGATAATTGACCCAAGCTATCACGCCGTAGAGCAAATGAGGGGTCAAACCTCACAATGTCGCCCATAATGCGATGGAATAATCTTGGTTGCATCCGATAGCGCCTTCTAAATATGCGAGCATTGTATACTGGATTTGGATCGAAGTAATCCCTCATAAGACGGCGATTACATTCGACCCTTTCACGATCAATGTGACGTCGACTTGATGAACCTTCAGCCAGCCTCCGGCCGATTAAACTCAACCGTAGGTGGTGAAACCTCTCGTACTCTTCGATTTCTTCTTCTCCTCCCGACGATGAGCTATCTGACATACTCATGATGAATGTGTTTGTTTTAGAAATGGGAAGAAGTTTCAGTGAGTTGATGAAAAATGAAGAATTGTGATTTATAAACAAATATGATGCACAAAACGACAAAAAAACGGTCATAAAGTAACGACTAAAAAAAACGGTCATATTTGGATTGGTCCAAAAAAACGGTCATAAAGTAACGGCTACAAAAAATGACTAATTTTGCAAAAAAAAAAAATATCTCGGAATTAAAAAAAAAATTACATCGAAAATTTTGTTTTCACAAGTAATAACAAACTATAAAAAAATTAAAGTGAATTACAAGAATGATATTGTAAATAAGTATGGATTATGGAAATTAAATCAAAAAAAGATGTGGGAAGCTAAATTTGGAAGCTTTTAGGGTTGGAGCAAAAAGGTGTTTTGGGGAGGCAAATATGCACATTTGAGAGCTTGGGAGGCTAAATATAGCTTTTGGGGTTGGAGTTAGTCTAAGACACTTTTTACTCAACCTTTTGATTTAAGTCTTTTATTACAAGAAGGAAAGTGATGACTTTTGATATTAGATTTGAAGTTTCAAGAACATAATTTCAAGAAAAACGATTTCTTACCACCCTGAACCACTTAGTACCACTTTCATTTTTAGCTAAAATTTTACACATAATAAACGAGTGACCTATTGTGATTTACAAATTTTCCAAAAATTTTAGGACCAAATATATTTGCCTTATATAGGATGGTAACTTATGGTAAACGATGGTGAAATATAATAATTGTGTTTAGTATATTTATTTATCATGCATAACACCATGCGATGGAGGAGCTATGTTGAAACTAGGAGGTAGGGTTGGTAAACGGTTATTCTGTTAACGGTGTAACTGATAATCAAATTGGAATTGGGGCTTAACGGTTATGTCGATAACCGATTATTGTGTACTTGTGTTGCATTGAGTTGATTATGAATTGATATATATCTATGTTAAATTATTTTTTATACAATGATAACAACTTAAGAAAAGAACACATGCCTATGTATGAAAAATTACAAAAGATTTACAATTGAAAAAAGGAGGTCTTTTGTTGGTTAGGTTATCGATCGGTTATTTTGGTATAACCTTGCCGAATCACTTAGTCAACGGGTATCCAGTTAACCGACACAATAATCGAGAATCGACTATACGATTACGGTCAACCAACTAATTTAAACGGTACGGTTAACAATAAGTTTAAAATGCTTAACGGTTAACCGAGAACCGATTAAATGGTTTCGGTTATAACCGAACCGAATCGATTATCAGCCCTACTAGGAGGGGTTGTAGCACCCATCAACTGTGAAATATAGGTAAAGTTACATTAAAACTTGATAAATTTCTCACCATTTTAATACAAAAGATTAATAAAAATCTCAAATTTTCTAAAAGAATGTAATTTGAGATAATATCTATTTGAATATATCTTGAACCATACATTTTTTAACTATGTATTCCACCATTGAAAAGTATGTTCATATTATCATACATTTTTTTTATAATGAATGATTTATTTCTTTGTACAAGAATTAATTCATTTAAAATTATGTTCTTGAAACTTCAAATCTAATATCAAAAGTCTTCACTTTCCTCCTTGCAAAAAAAGAGTTAAATCAAAAGGTTGAGTGCTATGATATTTGGGAGTTGCTGCACCTTACCGTTAATCCCAATGAAAAATGGAAATAACGGAAGTCTTATCGTTCCGTTCCGTTCCTCCGTGATTAGTAATTAAAAAATGAAATTAATGGTAGCCCAATCAGGAAGCGCCACCTGGCCTGGCAGAAGCTACGGGCTACAACCCGGGTTGCTGCCAAGTATCGCCCATTTTGCCCTTAAGAAAATACACGTGGTTTTCCCGTAAAAAAAAATACATGTGGTTGGAATAATTTGTCTTCAGTTTAAGGTATATAATTTTCATGGTAGATACTAGATAGTTCTATATCGTACTCACACCAATCACGTTATAAAATCGTTCGTCGCCATTCAAATCGCTATAATACAACTTATTTTGTAACCATCACTGCTCAGTGTTTATACATCCTTTGCACTCACCATGCAAATGCGCACATCATTCACAACCAAATTGTCTCCTTTTTAGACCTCATTTGTCAAACTCGCAATCAATAAGTAATAACTAATAAGTGAGCTCAGAAGATGGCCTATGTGGTGGATATGTGCATTCAATTTCTTTTTGATAGAGCTGTGCATTCATTTTGTGACTCCGTTTTCAACTGACTTTAATTCATGCAAGTAGACTATACTATCTATCCATCTACCGATATTATTAACATTTATTTTACATGCATGCACCTCCATCCAAGGTGTCTCTTCCGGTATATGAAATTGGTTAAATACTACACATACATTTTTTTACAACTCGAATTATTAGTACCAAAATAATATTGGATGAATGACTTGCTTCCAAGCGAAGCGAAAATAACTACAATGATTTCACCTACATAGTCAAAACGCATGTTACATACATTGATACAACTACTTTGAGCCACCCGCATCAAACTCTAACCGTAGAAATCAGACGTCTTTTGACATCAAACGAACAGGTTCGATCGAAACAAATTTTTTTTTTTGCGAGATCAATTTTGTGGTGGATTATTTAGTCTCCTCAGATCATTCGAACGTATTTCTGATTCACCTCGAGTGTTGATTATGCGTGCATCAAATGGTTTTCTAAGAAAAAGGAGTGGGTTGACTAGGCTACTTGATGGATGCATTAATTTGGTGTCTCCATTATTGCAACAAAGAAGAAAGTAGTTCACCCTCCGAAGTTTTCCACAATGATTAATGAGACGGTCTATCATTGCGCAATTGATATGCCTAGGGACCCATTCGGGCCTGCTTCTTTTTCTATCTTGGGCTTTTTAATTTTCATGAATGGGCCGCGGGCCGCGGGGAAGCTCGAGCAGGGGAAGGACGAATCAAAGAGTATCAGTGAATAAACTGATACGTCGCCGTCAGGTGCGACCGGGAATTCTTTATTATTTTCCTCTTCTTTTGGGTACGAAACACGACCGGGAATTGTCTTGCAACTTCCATTTGTTCCGGCGGAAGGGAAAGGAAGGGTCAGCGGAGCGGAGAAAGAACGAAAAGAAAGCAGAAGGAAGAATAGCAATGGCAGGAGTAGCACAGGCGTTGAAGCGAATCCCTAGCATCAAGTTCCCTCAGCGGCGTCCCAATCCTTCCACAGGTAAGAACCAATTTCTGATTTCTTCAGCGGAAAGATTTTTGAACGTTCAGATGAGTTATTGGCAATGTCTCTCGGATCTTTTTCTCGGTACGGCTCAGAGCGACGCTCGAATTTCGGGTTTGCGGATACGAGTTCGGCGATGATTGAGAACCTTAGTTGAGATGTCTTGAATACGTATTCATTAGAATTTGAATGGAGTTCCAATTTTGAAGGCTTAGCTTCGGTTGTTGGCTTGGGGAATACGCTGCTTGGGGTTTGCTCGGATTGATTGCTGCGTAGTGCTGTGCTTGGCTTCTGTGAAAATTAAAGAACTTTTTTCCTTTATTGTCTGGGGGAACTGGATCGTTTTAGCAAGCTTCTGGTTTTAGTTTTGATGCGTTTCTTGGTGTGAAGGATAGGTCTGGATCTGCCTTCTATTGAGGTAAAGATATTGGGATGTCTTGTTGAACGAGAAGTTCAAGAAACTGTGTTAATTGATGAAGAAAACATTGAATGGTTCAAGGATGGATGATATTTAATACTCGATATCTGCAGGCGTGGATATTAGAAGTAGTCAATGTATTTGGATTTAGGAGATGCTATGAATTCATTATTTATAAGGCTTTGGATTGTCAATTGTTCTAGGTATTTTAGCAAGAGAACGTAAACTATGTCTAGTGCGAGTTTGGCAAAACCGTGATGTATGTGTCCTTTTGAGGCAAATGCCTCGTGTCATGTTTTGAGTTGTGATTCAACTAGCTATGGAAATGCTGTTTTGAGTTGCAAATTTAACTGACAAATTTACTCCCACAGGTTCTGTTTCCAAGACAGAAGGAGCTTCCGCTGCTGGAAATGCTGTTTCAAACTTCTTCTCCAGTGCAAAAGCTTCAAACCCTCTTGGAGGTCAAGCTTCTCTTCAGCCCAAACGAACGCCAGTTTCTCGTGATGAGATTGAGACAATCTTGGTAGGTTCAGAGCTTGTATGCTTACTGTTTGCCTGTGATTTTGCTTATTTGTTCATTATTATGTCATACTTCAATGTTGTCATGCATACATCGTCACTCGCCTTAGGAGTAATGCCGGATGACAATATCTTCTTACTGGCTAAATGGCACAGACTATACCTAGCGGTTTCAAAATGGAGTTGTCAGCTAATTTCTTAGCTAAAAAAAGATCAGGCTTTTAACTTGTGGTACAAAGTGATTTCCACACTAAGCCCTTGTTCAATGATAATGGGACTTCATTATTGCTCTGGAGATCGTTTCTAAGCCAGTGATAGCTCTAAATTGCTTTTGCTGCCAGAAACTAGGAGTGTTGAGTTTCGAGTCGTTACGTGAGGGAAAAAATTGCCACAAACGGTTGACTTTAGCTTGAGCATCTGTTGAACAGATTTGCTGAGTACACTAATAATCTCTATTTTCACGTTTACTTGGCAGTTGGGCGGCTGCATCTGATCATCTGGTTGAAGTTCAAAACGCGATGGTGCGTCTTTTCTAATTGAATGTCTTTGGAACATCTAAAGTTCATATACTGATTTTCTGTCAAAGCCGAGAACACAATTTCCAAACTGGATCTTTTTTCATACTACAACAGAGAGGGGAGGAACTAAAAGTTTGCTTGCTTGTATTAATTTTTCCATCTGTGCAAGAACTTAACAAAAATCAAACTTTTTATTACTGCCTAGTCGCACAAATCAGGAAAAGCATACATATGAACATACTGCATACATAGATTAGACACAACAAAAGAACTAAGCAGATTATGCATCTTTCTTAGCTGTAGTTTCTAGGATAACCGATAGAGGATTTTTCCCCGGGGGGCCCTTCTCCCTGCGCTCGAGTTCTTCGAGCCGGAAAGTGATCAACCGATCCCAGACCCCTCCTTCTAGAAGAACCCCGGCCTTCCCATCTGTAATCCTCTGTACAATGCCACAGTACATGTAGTATGGACTGTTAGTGTTCTTCACAAGAGCAATCATACCAGGCATTAGCAGTGGCAACTCGGGCGCTCTAGGCTTCTTTCCAGCTGTAGTAATCCCTGCTAGAGCTCCTGAATCAGTCTTTTTAGGCGGAGGGTTTTCCTCGATGAACTTCTGCAGCCCCTTCTCCCCACCAGGAAATCCACCAGTTAGTCCCATCATTTCCTTGTCAAACCCATCTTCTGGGACGCCTTCCGGTAGCTGGCTCCCGGAACTAACTTCATCATCTCGATCCGAGATGATCGGCTCGACGCTCCTCTTGAGTTCTTTCTCCAGGCCTTCCTCCCCATTGCAAAGCCCCCTCCCTCCCAGGAGCTGGGAGAGGTCGAATTTGGCGCTTGTTACCTGATTGAGCCTCGAATCCTTGGGTATCGAGGAGTAGGATCGCCTGTGAGGCTTGGTGTTGAGGTTCTTTTGCCCTAGGAAGTTGGATCTTAGGAGGGCACCTTGGTGAATGGGTTGGAGGGTGATGGAAGAAGAGGCCGCCATGGGTTTTTAGAAGTATACCAGGTTTGGGGAAATGAATGAAAGGAAGTGGTTTCAAATCCTGGCCACAAATTTGGGACTCGTGGGAGGGATAGTACTACTCTATATTCCTGTTCTTTTGCCATCTCGTCTCTCTATCATTTTCCTTCTTCGCTGTAGGCACAATTTGACGTTTCTGTTTGTTACATGTGGGTTGATCCTTCTGGTAACAGTTTAGTGGCTTCTCGTATTCGTTCATGAATCATGATGTTATCCTCTTTATCCCTATATATATCTTACGTACAGGGGCCCGTTTGATGCTCACCATTCCACTGGAAGATGTCCATAAAATGTTTAGAAATTGCAATTTTATGTATCAAGAGGCTTTAATGAACATTACAAGGGTCAGAGTGAACTTTGAATCGTGGATTAATTACAGGTTTGGTAATGTGGCTGATTGATACATCTGTACTGATTGATCTAATGTGGTCAAATTGGCGACTTGTGATAAATATCGTTCAAGTTTGTACGATAATACATACTGCTATGATGTCAGTTAAATAGATTCTCGCATGTACTTCAGTCCAGTGAGCAATCCTATGGTTGTGCTACAATCGCGGCGAATAAATATGTACTTCTAAAAGATTCTTTATATTGTGTACGATTGATTACGTCTTATTGGTGTTTAGTGTTTACAATGTAACAAGTACACGTATGGGAAATTGGGAATATATGGTGTCTGCACTCTGCATGTGACTGGGCCCGAAGCCCATTATTCTCTTGGGCCCAACGAACACACTTATTTATTTTAATCGGATTCTATTCTACCATATGCAGTCTCATTGTATTAAATTACGGTTTACGAACTCAACTTTTCATTTTCCCGAACTTTGAGAAAACCAAAATACGGAACCCACTGTCCTGCGAGCCAAAAGTATTGGAAAACAAAACCTCCATAGCCGCACCACGGGAAAGTTCCCCTTGCTCCTCTGTTTCATGTTACCAACGCCAACGCCAACGCATAAAGGTTTTCTTTCTGCGGTAGCATATTCGGTAAGTAAAGTAACCCACCCAGTTCGTCTTCCTTCCTGCTTCTTTCTCCAATTATTCCCTTATGAATTGATCCGTTTCCCATAGCTTGCTTGTCTGCTGAATGTTATTCAAGTTGCGAAATTTCTGGATAAAGTTTTTTATTAGATTCGTGGACTTGAGAGATGTTGTACGGACGTTTAATGGGTCTTGGGTTGTTGTAAGCTCGGAGATTATGCAGCAGCTTAATCCATTTGTGTGACCTGGATTTCGGGATTTGGGATTCGCGAGAGTTCTCTCTCTGTGAGGATTGGGGACTGTAGGGTGTAGCTGTGATGGGTAAGCTGCTGTTGGGAATTTGCTTGCTGGTTGCTGGAGGAGAGCTGTTGTTTCTTCGAAACGTTTTCTGATTTTGTTGGAATTCAGTTCTGTTGATTGAAGTGACCTTTTGGTTGGGGATTGAGCTTTTGGGTACATTTCTATTCCGCCTTTGGAATTTGCCCTAAGAAGATTGAATCTGTAGACATAATGGATTTCTTAAACTTGATCCCTTTGTCTACTACTTGTATGCATACAATCATAGCAATAGGAGGAGTAAGGAATAGAATCTTCTGCTGAATATGCTAAAGCTTGGAAATATTGGGTTTGACTTTATATTAGACAGCACATTGAGCAGATATAGAATTCTTTTTGTCTGGGAGGGATTGCAATTTTGACACTGAGTGCTTGACCTACCAATAGTGCATCTCCATAGTACTGATGATCCTTCTGTTTCGTGTTTCTTCTAATGTGTAGCTTCATGGATGATCGTCGTGGAAAGCTGAATATCATACCGGATCACTTTCAAGTATCAACTTCCGGCGAGGACACTCCACAAGCAGAAACTAATCCTGTTTCCCAGCCAAGAGTTGATAATTTGGCTAGGTACTATACTTCATGCCTAGTTAAATGCGCGGTAGAGAAAGACCAACTTTGTTCTCATGAGCAAATGGTTGATTTTGGCTTCAGCTTCTTCTTTTTGTTTAGGATAGGCCCCAAAGTCTTTCCTGGTCACCGAGAAAATTGAAGACTGCTGCATCTATGTTGAGAATGTTCAGTCTACGTGGCCTACCTTGGACCCCTGATGGCCAGCAAAAGGTTCAGGTAACTGTTGCAGAGTTGGAATCACTTCGCTCGGAGCTGGTCGAGGTAGAAGAAAGGGAAGCTTACTTAAAAGCTCAGTAAGAAACTTAAATCCCTTAGCTTTATAGTTTGTGATTTCGCTTTTTTGTTCCAACAGAATGCATTCCTAGTATTTTATGGATAATATTGTTATGTTTTTTTTGAACAGGTTGGAACATGTTGATGAAATTTTGCGCACAGCTCGCCTCTCAGGCTATTTATACATTAGATCTGTATGAACTGCTCCTGTTCTTTGTTTCTTGTTTAAATGCTGCAATTCTCTATGCTTGATGTCATTTATAAGCCTATAACATTCCTCCATGCATCTTTTCTTGTTTATCAATACAGAGATGGGCAGCTTTACCTGGTGAGCCTGCTGTAATTGATGATATTGATATCGACGATTGGCTTCCTCGATTTGTTGTCCTTCACGGACAGTGTTTATTCTTCTATTTGTTGAGCACAGGTAAATAAGTTATACTGGCTAGTTATTATTGCAGTAGTATATGTAATATTTTCTCCGATTTGTGATGATCATATTCTTACTTGTAAAAACTAGGAAGTTTTTCTTTTTGCAGATTTGAGTCCTCAAGATTCAACTCTACTCGCCGATGTTGTTGAAGTGGGTTCTCTACCGGAAGTTAGACGCGAAGATGATGAGATAAGATATTCCTTCTATGTTTTGACTCGTCAGGGCCTTCGGTTCGAGTGCTCCAGTGCTTCTAAATTACAGGTGTGTTACTACTGACTCTTGCTCATTCGCTGCCATCCCTAGAGTTGAAGCTGATTATTTTCACAATACATGAAACGTTAGTCGCAATTGTGCTGTACTTGATCCATTCCAAATGTGCTCATTTTCCTCAGGCGGAGACATGGTTAGAGGCACTAAAAACTGACTGCAAATATGGCTGTGGTGGTGCAGAATCTGTAAACGACTCTTCTGAGACGAATAATCGCTCCGAGACTGACTGAACACTGAACTGTACTTAGGCTTATTCAATTGTACATCTTTCCTTCAGCTGATATTTGATTGGAGCTTGTGATTCCTCGTACTGCTTCGTTTTGTTCATGTACATAGATTGACACACTCATTTAACCCGGAATTCATTATATACTACTTCCCAGTTCTTGCTAGTTCAGCGAGGACTACAAGTTTTCAGTAATTCATTGTGCACCTTTCTTAGACCTATGGAGATGGGATTTCACTACTTTATAACCAAGACTCTGAATTCAGAAGAACTATGCTTTATCGCAAAAAAATTGAGCAGATGTTCTGCTGTTTTATGTTTGATTGATAGAAAACAAGACAAAATGCTCCAAAATATCCTATGAATATAAACTATACAGTCAAGCGTCAAACAACAGCTTGGTCAAGTTTCTGCACACAAAGAGTAAACAACAGTTGGGTATTCCCCTGGTCTCCGAAAACGCAAATTAGAAAGCCAAAGAGGACACAGAACTACATGAACAAACCAAAGTTCATCATCAGACCCTGAACTACTACTACCACTCAAAAGGACATCCAACTCAGAGACACATAAGACCATGGACAATAGTAACATTGAACAAGAGAACAAGATCCATCTTCAGCAGTTCGAATGTGCATTCATCCCCAAGCTCCAAAGAATTCTCCTTGGCAAACTAATTCCAACCAGCGCCGAACTTTGTGTACCTCCATTTCCTCCTTGCCTGTTTAGCTTCACTTCCCACTTCTTGTTTGTCCCCAAGCTTGAGTATCACACAATCAATCCTCTCGCTAATGAACAAACAACAACAGGAGGATCAAAACATGTCAAACACCAATTTCATAATCAGTAACGACTTTGGCACTTGAAACCTGAAGAAACGCCTACCGCTTGGTAGAGCCTGAGGTGAGTTGGAGACATGGAAGCAGCAAAAGTTGGATGCCTAGATGCTGATAGCTGCTTCATCACGGTCTTCTCTGTTCCCTTCTTCATTGTACCACTTCTCACAGGAAAAGCATAATAAATGTTTCTACTTTCTTGTTTCTTGCCATGGGCACAACAATAAGGAAACTGGAAGATGTTGCTGATGAAGGAAAGACCATAGGTGGTATGGGACATTTGGATTCCATATGCAGATGGATTTCTCTACATTTTTCACCAGTAAACCATCCAAGGACTGCAACTTGCAATTGGTCCCTGAAATTAACTTCTTTGCAAGGTAAGAGTTAACTGGAACCTGCTAATGCAATCAGCAACATCTTATTAAAAAACTAGGCTATTGATTTTTATTGATAACCAAAGCACGAAAACTACTGCAACTGTTCCATTGGCAGCATAGACACAGCCACAAGCACAGCACAAGATCTAAGAAGCTAAAAGGTTAAGCGTGATTCAACTGTGTTAAACGAACATCGCAACAAAAGGCGTATCTGACGAAATTCACAAGGCGGATGATGAACCATTCTTCTTCTTTGTCGTCCCGTAGTAACTAACGTACCATCTTACAAACTTCTTAAGCCCCGACTCCAGCCCTGTAGCCGGCTTGTACCCGAGCTCCCTCTGAGCCAAACTGATATTCGCATGTGTGAACTCCACATCTCCATTTTTTGGCAGCGGCTGAGCTTTCTTCTTCGCCTTAACTTTCAGAAGCTTCTCCAATATGCTCACCATCTTGGTCATTGGAACAGGGGAAGTATTCCCCAAGTTGTAGATCCTCAATTGAGCTGGACCCTTCTTCTTACCTCCACTTCCAGTGCTCTTTTTCGCAGTATCCAGCGCGCCCAAGCAACCTTTAACAATGTCGTCAATGTAGGTGAAATCTCTGGCCACACTTCTCCCATCGGCAGTTTCAAACACACTGATCTCTTTCCCTTTCAGGATGTCCTTAGTGAAGAAGAAGTAAGCCATGTCTGGCCTTCCCCACGGACCATAAACAGTGAAGAATCGCAGCCCAGTAATGGAAAGGCCATGGATGTGGTTATAAGTATGAGCAATTTCCTCGCCGGCTTTCTTTGTAGCGGCGTAGAGGCTCGCCGGCCGATCAGTCCTGTCCTTCTCAGAGAAGGGGACTTTGGAATTCAAGCCGTAGACCGAGCTGGAAGAAGCCCAGACGATCGCCGGCTGAGGGTTTGCCGATTTGCAGACCTCGAGCAAATTCACAAACCCTGCGATGTTGCTGTGGACATAAGATTTAGGGTTTTGCATCGCGTACCGTACGCCGGCCTGGGCGGCCAGATGCATGACGTGGGTGAAATGGACGACGTCGAAGAGCCTGCGGAGCAAATCGGCATCGTTGATGTCGCCTTCCACGACGAAGATTCCGGCCCGATCGAGGACATTGCGACGGGCGTGCTTGAGATTGACGTCGTAGTAGTGGTTGAAGTTGTCGAGTCCGAGGACGCCATCGCCGCGGCGCTTGAGGGCGATCGAGACGTGGGTGCCGACGAATCCGGCGGCGCCGGTGACCAGGACGGTGAAGAAGCCGGCGGATTCGGGGCGGGTGGATTTGAGGACCTTCTTCTCCCACTGGCGGCCGCCGGGGAGATCGGCGCTGAGCTGGCGGCGCGGGGAGGAGGAGGAAGGAGGGGAGAGGAGGAAGAAGAAGAAGAAGAGGACGAGGAACAGGAAAGAGTAGAAGGTGAGCTTCGAGATGTTGGATTGTAGCCGGAGGGAGCGGTGGTGGTGGTGGTGGAGGTACGGCGGAGCTTTGTCCGGTTTGAACTTTCCCGGCGTCGAGGGTGGACTGTTGTCGAGAAGGGATGAAGCCATCGTCGGAAAAGTGGGGGAGAATCGGTGAAGCCCGGTTAGGATGTTGCGGTGGCAATGGCGGTTGTTGGAGCCAGCCGCCGGTGGAGAAAAAGGATCACTGCGGTAGGAATTCTGTTTCTGTGGGCAGAAAATCTGTTGCACCAACTTTTTAAGACAGGGAAGTAGAAAGAGGGGTTTTGAACTAATTTGGATTAAGTTGGGATGGTTTTGGGTTAGGACGACTACTAGAATTCTAGTAGTCATTTTGAAAACAAAAAAGTCATTTTATATATTCTACTCAAATCCCTAATTTTTCTTTCATCTAGCAAAATCCTACTTCTACCCTCCCTTCTCTCCATCGGAAATTATCGCTGCAGCAAGCTTCACTGACTGGTGACTAGGGATGACAATGGGTAGGGTCGGGTGCGGGTTTACCCTATACCAACTAGAGATGGCAACAAAACCCGTACCCACGGGTACCCATCCGACCCAATCCGGTCAACGCGGGTAAAATCCGTGTTGACGGGTTTTGGGCCGGGTTTGGGTTTAAACCCGTTCACTATTCACCGAGTTGGGTTGGGCTTCTAAAATGCCCGATCAAATAACCACCAGGTATGAAAATTATATAACCATACCCTACCCACCGGGTAACCATGAGTACGAATCCTAAACTATGAACTTATACACATAATGCACATACATACTGTTGTCCATTAAAAATTCTCAATACTTGTAACTATTCTGGCTTCAACAATCCACACAAATAAAAACAGCAAACACATAATAATTGTTCTTGCTTCTACAATCCACACAAACATAATAATCGTCTACATCTTCATCATCAATAATGGTAGTTAAACTCAATTTCTCAAACTAAACTAAATTTCACAAGGGAAATGGACCCTTTGGTTAGCGGCGCGGGTATAACGAGGCGGGTATTATCGATTACCGTACCCGTACCCTACCCTTTATTTTGAAACCGGGTATTACCCGTACCCGCCCCTTAACCCGTCAAAGCGGGTAATTACCCTCGTTGACCGGTTACAGTCGGGTAGGGTACCCATGGTTACGGGTTGGATTGACATCCCTACTGGTGACTGCCGAGTCGCGACGCATCAAACTCGATGTCCTATAAACCCGACCATTCACCGTTGCCCAACCGTGAATAAGGCGACTATGTTCCTCATCATCGTTCGAGAGATAGAGAGCGTCATGGATTATATGTATATTCGTACATGGAAGGTAAGGAGAGCGAGAAGCAAGTAGAGGCGGAAGACATAACCAAAAATCAAGAAGGAAAACGAGAAACCAATGGAATTGATTTGAAATTGTATTGATCCTTGTCGCTCTCGTTCGACATCATCATTCAACACCTTTCACCAACTCGCCATCGTTGTTGTTCTATCCGTTCTAATGGTATTGATTCATTATGAAATTATATTATTTTGCTCTCATAGTAATGGTGGTATTGGTTGATTTTGGTATTGGTTTGACTCTTGTAATTGTATAGATTTATTTGTATTGGTAGTTTTCGTGTAATGATATTGTTTTTCATAATTGTGATTTATTTCTACAATGGTATTACTGCTTTTCAAAATGGTAGTGGTTGGCTAATGAATTGGTATTGATTTCTTGTTTTATATTTGTAGTGGTATTATTTCGACTTAACTAAGACAAGGAGAAGATTGAGAAAAAGAAGAAAGAGAGATCTGGCGGGAGATTGCTGAAGTGAGAAAAAGATTAGAAAATTGAAATTAATATATTTTTGTAATTTTTTAAAATATAATTTTTTTAAAAAATATAGATTTATGAATGAACAATAGAAGACACACCTTAATAGCTTTCACAACCTACTAAAACAAAAATGTTTTCACAATCGTCATTCAACTAATCATATACTCTTAACAATCTCCCACTTCAACTAAAAAAATAAACCCCTCAAAATCTAATGCATCACGAATTAAGTAGTTCATTTATGTTGTGATCAAGAGTAAAAAACCAAATAAAACTCATTGCGGTTGGAAAAATGCTCTCAACAGCGAACGACGATTTAGCGACCCCGGCGCCGGGCCTCCTCCCGTCTGACCGGCCGCCGGATACAATGGATCCCTCTGTTTTTGTCAATGTCCCCGGGGCCATGGGTAACACGGCTCCGCCCGTCGCTGTGTCAGATATGGCTATTGATTTTGCTACTTTGCCTGTGCAGGTGTCTCCGGCGGAGGCAACGCCAGAGCAGGGATCCCAACTCACGCCAATGGAGGCCGCGGAAAATCAGGCAAACGCGAAGAAACCAGTACAGGCGTTCACCTATGCTAAGGCGGTAGCGGGCTTACCGACACCATTGACACCTCCTAATCAGCTGGCGCTGTGGACACCAGTGGGGGAACACGATCTAATAACAGGGAGCCGGAATGGGGAGCCGGCGTTGACAATTTCGACGGAATTCAAGACGAAGATTTGTGCACCATGGCAGCGCTCTTTGGTTATTAGACTGCTTGGTCTGAGAATTGGCTTCATCGCTCTCTGTAACCGTCTGAAAAGCCTCTGGAGACCGACCGGAAATATGGAAATCAAAGACCTGGACCATGACTGCTTTCTGGTCAAGCTCGACAATGAGCAAGACTACTTCCGGGCTCTGACCGACGGGCCATGGGTGATCTTTGATCACTATTTGGTTGTTCAACAGTGGACTCCAAGTTTCGAGGCCTCTGATCCTCTTCCGAAAACCATGATCGTCTGGGTTCAACTTCCGGCCTTGAAGATTCACTTCTACCACAAAGAGGTTGTGACTACTCTTGGAAACCTAATTGGGAGAACGATCAAGCTTGACTACCATACCCTTACACAGCAACGGGCAAAATTTGCCAGGCTAGCGGTGGAGGTTGACTTATCGAAGCAATTGGTTCCACGAATATGGCTTGACGATGCCTGGCAAAAAGTTGAATACGAAAACCTCCCTGAGGTTTGTTTTGAATGCGGAAGGATTGGGCATTGCTCTGCCATGTGTCCGCTCCTCAGACCCGCCGCTTCGCAGAATACTGTGGTGGTCGCCGGAGGGGATTCGCTGTCTGGTTCGCCGGCCGTCGAGGAAGACACCAGTCGGGGCTTCGGGCCGTGGATGCTGGTTTCCAGGAAGTCGCGGCGGAATTCACGGGACTTTCAGCAGAAAGGGAAAGTCGAGAAAGATGCGGAAGTGCAAAATCTGGGGCAAAGACACAAACAAGGTAAGCGGAAGTCAGGAGGGAAAGAAGGAAATCAAAACTTACCTAGTCAAGCCATCTCCAACGGCCCCCTGCCTCAGAAGAACCAAACACAGGAAAGGAAAGTCGTCAACGGTCAGATGAACATCTCCGAGACAAAGAAGGGAGTTGTCTCGGGTGGGGGTAGTTCGGGTGGAAAAGGGAAGGGGCTTTTGGGCCCAAAGCCGGATGTTCCAGAGCCCAACCCTAGCAGATTGAAGCCCAAAGCTTGGGCGGATGAGGCCTCAACTTCGGGTCAACAAACCCAGGCCCAAATTTCGGTCAAGCTTTTAAAGTCTTCTGAGAACAATGAGGAGGCCCGCCAAGAGTCCAAAAGGCAACAGAATCCGCCACTTATTTCTAAAACAGTGACAGGCCCAAACGGCACGGTTATGCAGATCATCGAGAATCCCAAATTGGCGAAGGAAAATGTTGACCCGAACTCCACCTCTGCCCCTTCTCTCGCAGCTCGAACGAAAAACAACAGGAAGAAGAACTCCCAGGGCAGCAAAGCTTCTGCCAAACTCAATACAGCGAAGCCCCTTCAAATTTGGTCGCCGGTTAAAGAGAGGAAAGCCAAATCCAAAGCTAGGGTGGCAACGCTGACTTTGCAGGAGATCAGTGCCTGGACCGAAGCTGCCAAGAAGATGACAGGAGATTCAGGGGGAAAAGTTTCGGACGTTGAGTCAAACGGTTCCCTCCCGACGCAGACCCAGACAGCGGTGAGCTCCCCGCCGGTGTAGTTGGCCTCAGCCGTCGCGGATCTTCACTCTTTTGTCATTTTTTATTATGAATTCAAATATTAAGATTATTGCGTGGAATGTCGGGGGTGCTGGGAGCAGGGCTTTCAGACGGGCTCTGAAATTGGTAGTTCATACGCACCGGCCAGACTTTTTGGTGCTCCTTGAGCCTCAGATCAGTGGGGATACGGCAAATGGAGTTTGCGATAAGATTGGTTTTCCTAATTCTGTTCGGGTGGAAGCTGAAGGGCGATCAGGCGGTATATGGGTCTTTTGGGATGCTGGGGTGTACTCGGTCCAGCCATATTCAGCCTGTTCACAGCATCTGTCCCTTCAAGTTAGAAGAGGTAATGGCCCGAGTTGGATGTTAACTGCTGTGTATGCTTCTCCAAGACAGGGAGATCAACGCCACCTGTGGGAGAGGCTTGTCTTTCACAGCAAGAACATTGATTTGCCTTGGCTGGTGACTGGGGATTTTAACGCTATAGGTAAACCGGAAGAGAAGTCGGGAATTCCAGCTCGCAATACTCTGAAAAGATGCCAGCTGTTCACTGAAAGGATGAATCTGGCGGAGCTCGTTGACATTGGTTTCTCGGGCCCCAAGTTCACCTGGTCTAGGGGAGAGAGTGGTCAGACGTACAAAGCTAGCCGGCTGGATAGGAGTCTCTGCAACATTCATTGGAATTCGGCGTTTCCTAACTCATCAGTTCTGCACCTCCCCCACTATCAATCAGATCACTGCCCTATTTTGACTCGTGTGGAATCTCAGCCGATCAGACATCAGGTCACGAAGCCGTTCAAATTTGAAGCAGCTTGGTTGACCAATGAGAGTCTTCGGTCTCTTGTGAGTGATTCTTGGAACTCGGCGGCTCCTCTTGAAAATGCCCTCAAGGTTCTCGCTACTAAACTGGTAGATTGGAATGAGAATGTCTTTGGGAACATTATGCAAAAGAAGAGGAAGCTGTTGGCAAGAATTAAAGGGGTGGAAACAGGCTTGGCTAGTAGCTTTTCTCCAGGCTTGGCTAAACTGCATACGAAACTAGCATCGGAGTTGGATAAAGTTCTTGAGCAGGAAGAGATCATCTGGTATCAAAGATCAAGGGATCAATGGGTGAAGTTTGGAGAAAGGAACACCGGCTACTTTCATCAACAGGTCAACATCAGGAGACGGTTCAACAAGATCGAGGCCCTGATGGACGACAACAATTCGTGGGTAACCGAGCCACGTTCTCTCGCTATGCTGGTGTTCAGTTTTTTCTCTAACATTTATTTGCAGGATAACTCCCCGTACGAGGATAGAATGCCGAAGGGGTCCTTCCCTCGTCTCAGCCAAGCTGAGGTGGCAGCCCTGTTCCGTCCTTTTAGCATTATCGATGTTCACCAGGCGATTTTCGGTATGAAGCCATTTCAGGCCCCTGGCCCCGATGGCTTCCATGCGGGGTTTTACCAGCAGTTCTGGCAGGTAGTGGGGAAGTCGCTTTCGGATATGGCAATGTCTTTTTTTGTGACAGGTACCCTTCCTGAAGCTGTGACGGAATCTACCCTGGTGCTCATTCCGAAAGTGGACTCTCCGGAGAGGGTGGCTCAGCTAAGACCTATTTCCCTCAACAACGTCTGCCTCAAAAGCATCACCAAGGCCATGACATCCAGACTGAAACCTCTCTTGAGGAAGCTGATCTCGCCAAGGCAGAGTAGTTTTATCCCGGGAAGGCAAACCACGGACAATATCATAGTGGTTCAGGAAATTCTTCATTCTTTCAGCAAGAAGAGGAGCAAAAAAGGGGGTATGATCTTCAAGATTGATCTCGAGAAGGCCTATGACATGCTCAGGTGGGATTTTCTTCGAGATACGTTGAAGGAAGTGGGGCTTTCGAGTAACTGGATCAGTTGCATTATGTATTGTGTGGAGCATAATACGATGAGGATTCGATGGAATGGTGACCTCTCACAGCCGATCACTCCATCTCGTGGCATCAGACAGGGAGACCCTCTTTTCCCCTATCTTTTTGTTCTATGTATGGAGCGTCTTTCTCATAAAATTGATGAGGCCGTTAGTGCGGGAAAGTGGAAAGCAGTGCGGTTAACCAGGGCCGGCCCGCCTCTCACCCATCTCTTTTTTGCTGATGATCTTCTTCTTTTTGCAGAAGCTGAACGAAGACAAATCCGGGTGATCAAGGATTGTCTGGCAGATTTCTGCTATAGCTCCGGACAACGGGTTAACTACAATAAGTCCATCCTGTATGTCTCCCCGAATGTCGCCAGGCGCAAAGCAGAATACCTGAGCCAGTGTGCGGGTATCCCTCTGAAAGCAGCTCTGGGGAGATATCTTGGGATACAGGCAATACAGGAGAGGGTCACAAAAGGAAGATATCAATCTCTCTTGCTCCGTATTCAGAGGAAGATGGCTCCTTGGAAGGCGAAACGCCTCTCTTTTGCGGCTCGGTTAACAGTGGCCAAATCGGTAACTGCCTCTCTTCCGGTTTATACTATGCATACTGAATTAATTCCAAAGGGTGTGTGCAGGAGTATAGACAAAATCAGCAGGGACTTTATCTGGGGAGAGGAGGAGAACCGCTCCAAATTCCACCTGGTAGCTTGGGAGAACATGACGAGACCGAAGGCTGAAGGGGGTGTGGGACTGCGTCCTACTCATCAGGCGAACCTGGCCATGCTGGCTAAATCAGGATGGAAGCTGATGCGAAATGAAGGAAGTTTGTGGCAACATCTACTCCTCTCAAAGTACGGGGGTCAAAGAGCGGGCCTCGATATTTTGCGGAAAGTTCAGGGAAGTTCCTTCACCTGGAGCAGTTTTTCCAAAACTGCTGAGCTCCTTAAGAAATGATGCGCTTGGAATATTAAGAATGGTAGAAGGACTAAATTTTGGCTTGATCCGTGGATTTTGCAGGTTCCGCTGAAGGAGGTAATGACTGGCGAGATTCCGGATGCTTGGGAGCAGGCGGCAGTAGCTGACTTTGTTCGGGAGGATGGGAGTTGGCGCACGGAGCTATTCAGCGGGCGACTCCCCCAGGATATCTGCAAAAAAATCACCAGTACAGCAGTCGACACCCTTGCTCAGGAGGAAGATACCTTATTCTGGTCGGCGGCAGCAGACGGGAAGTTCTCTGTCAAGTCAGCCTATGGGGTTCTGTCTGCTTCTACCATGCAGCCGAGGGATGAGATTTGGAAAGTGGTCTGGGGTTTGCCAGTGCCGGAGAGAGTGAGGTGTTTTATTTGGTTGGCTATTCAGGGCAGGATAGCAACCAATGTCCTCAGGTTTCAAAGGAAGGTGGCGGATTCACCTATGTGCCCGCGATGTACAGAACAGCCTGAGACGGTTCTCCATATTCTGAGGAATTGCGCCCCAGCTATGTTCTTCTGGTCCAGAGTTGTTCCGCATCAGAAGCAGCATGATTTCTTCAGCGCCACTCACGAGGTTTGGTTCCGCAGCAACCTCTTGAGCAAGGAGTCGAGCAGCTCAGGTATTAGTTGGCCTGGTTTTTTCAGCATGGCGTGTTGGCTGTTATGGAAAAACCGTACTACTATGGCTTTTAAGGGTCCCAGTGCAGCGATGACGGCACCATCTCTCCTGCACTCCATTATGGTTAAGACGAAGCTGTGGAATGATTCTTGGCATGCCCCAGATCCTTTCTCCAACCTCAAGAAGCAGGGGATCGTGCGGGTTAGGGCAGATGTGGGTTGGACGCCTCCTGCGGAAGGCTGGGTTATGGTTAATACTGACGGGGCTTCCAATGGAAATCCGGGGCCAGCCGGCGCTGGTGGAGTAGTGCGAGGTCCCTTAGGGAACTGGTTGGGAGGTTTTGTGGCAGGTATTGGCTCAGCAACTGCTGTGCTAGCTGAGCTATGGGGTATCTTCTATGGGTTAGAGCTCGCTTGGAAGCTCGGCCACCGGGCGGTGAAGTTAGTTTCGGACTCTCAGCTTGCGATCCAGCTGATTCAGGAACGTCATGATCCCATTCATCCTTATGCGACTCTCTTGAACCTTATTCGCAGGAAGATTGGACAGGACTGGTTGGTTAGCTTGTCTCATACATATCGAGAAGGGAATAGAGTCGCGGACTGGCTCTCGAAGCACAGTCTCGTCTATCCCTACGGTATGTATGAGTTGGTTGATCCAGCTTCTGGAATTCTCCCTTTGTTGCATGATGACGTGATGGGTGTCACTTTCGAGCGCCGGATTGTGGCGCCCTCCTCCTCTTCTAGATAGTCTCTTCTGTACGCTCTCTCTTTCTTGGCTTCGGCCTCCTTTGTTATTCAAAAAAAAAAAAAGAGTAAAAAAACAAATTTCATTCAAAACACGATACATTCCTTTTATCATAATGTAAAAGATGGTTGTCCTAAAACATAGAGCTCTTGTATTTGAAATCGAAACGAAGATGACAAATCAAAATTATTTCAACACTGGGTACTTATGACAACATACCCTTGATTATATAGCAAGAGTTGCATCTCAATACTTCATAGAAATGAATACCTAAACACATTCAATTATGAACCATACATACTCAATTTATCTTGTTTTTCTAATAAAATAACAAAAGAATCCATTTACGAGAATAAAATTGTATTGAAACTTTTCCATATATATGTAGTCTTGCATCTTCAAAATTGAAAAAAAAATTTAAAAAATAACAACTTAGAAGATTGATAATATGTAATTTTATTATTATCAAATGAGATGGTAGGTCCAAAACTCCAAATTATGAACTTAAGAGATTATAGAAGGTGATTAATCATTTTTTTTTATGGTTAAGGTGATTAATCATTGATCAACACATCTTTAACAATAAAGATCTCCATCTTGTCAAAAAAAAAAAAACAATAAAGATCTCCATGAATAATTTTTAAACGAAAGAGATCTCCATGATTTGTCAATCATAACCGATCCCAGAAAGATTAACCCTAAACAACGAAGACGACGGGACACGTGTAAGAAGAATAAGACTGTTACGCGAGTGTGAACTGATCAACTGAAACTCACTCACTCACAGAACAGAACCGTTATTTATGGAGTTTTTTTTTTTACGGACTCCAGTTCCGGTTCAGCCACAAACACTCCGTTCAATTTCCCTTTTCGCCAATATATTCGCATTTATATACCTAAACCTCTTTCACACTCTCCCTGTTTGCTTGCTCCCCTCTCCTCCCTCTCCTCCATTGTTGTCCTTCCCCGAGCTCCGATCAAAGAAGAGGAAAATGAGCTCTCAGATTTTCAGATCCGCTTCCAGGGCCGCCAGGTCCCTTCTCTCCTCCGCTTCAAAGAACTCTCGCTTTTACTCCGGTTAGTTCCCTCATTTTGCTCTCCGCAATCTGTCGGTGCTTACAATTGAACCGGATTTATGTGTGTTCTTTTATCTTTTGAGTCGTTGATCGGCGGTCATCGTAGGATTAATCCGTCGGAAATCAGGCCGTTTCCCCCCACTTTTTGGTTGTTGTTCGGAATTTCTGTTGTGGTTTTGGATTGGTGACGATTTCTGATGGTGATTAGGCGTTTTGATGGATTGTAGAGGGGCGAGCCGCAGGAGCTGCCGCGGCGGTTTCGTTGAGCGGAAAGCTGCCGATTGTCGTTTCGGCATATGGAAGGACTGGTTCTGCAAATGCTCCGCAGTGGATTTCTGGAGCACTTGCGATTCCCATGGCAGGTTAGGTTCCTTTCTGATCTGGTATACGTAGTGTTGTGGCATTTCGTTCGATTTTCGATCCGGATCCACTACAGGTTCAGTGCCGTTCTGTGATTTATTTTTTTCAATTGTTAACTGGAATGGAGGTCTTCTTGCACTGTGGTCGTAGAATAGGTAGATTTATGAATGAACATCGCAATGTGAGTGAGGTTAGTTAGAGAAAGGGAGAGGAGCAATCTCCTTGCCCTCCATTGTTCACGCCGTGGCAATTGGTGAAACCTTTAGTTCTGGGCTGCATTTCTATCACTGATATGTGGATTGTTGTGTGTCTGTCAAAATTATGCACACAGTTGTTTGTTCATGAGTAGCATCCAAGTATAATGTCTCTGGTTTTGGATTACGATCTATCGATTTGATATTTATGTGGAAACTCCTCTGGTTTTGTATGTGCAGCTTATATGCTCCAAGAACAGGAGGCCCGTGCTGCAGAGGTAATCAAAGTGGCTTCAGTTCTCTACAATGTTCTTTTCTTCTCTTCTTATGAACTTGTAAACTATGGATGTTGATTTTGCTTTTCAGCTGGAGCGTACCTTCATTGCTATCAAGCCTGATGGGGTGCAGAGAGGACTGGTATGATAAGCATTTCATCTATTTTTTTCGCTCTGCCATTTCTACCTTTCCTCGCTAGAACGACATCAGAATTTCCTGCCATTTACTGTGTATTCATAATCATACATCTAATTTGGAATGTGTTTTTATCTGTGTCCAGATTTCAGAAATCATTTCCAGATTCGAGCGCAAAGGTTTCAAGCTTGTGGCAGTCAAGATAGTGGTTCCTTCAAAGGGCTTTGCTCAAAAGCACTACCATGACCTGAAAGAGAGGCCATTCTTCAATGGCCTTTGCGACTTCCTGAGCTCTGGTCCTGTTTTGGCCATGGTATGAGAAGAACCACCCACCTTCACCATGTCTAGTATGTTTTGTGTATAACGTAGAGTCGACTAAAGGCCATTTAACTTCTGCAGGTGTGGGAAGGAGAAGGTGTGATCAAGTATGGCAGGAAGCTCATTGGAGCAACAGATCCTCAGAAATCTGAACCCGGAACTATTCGAGGTGACCTGGCTGTTGTTGTTGGAAGGTATGCATTTCAATCTCTTCCTCTTGTCACATGTCACTTAATCACATGATTCCTCTTACCTCATCACGTCCTCCATTGCCCCCTTCCTTCCATTTTTAGGAACATCATTCATGGAAGTGATGGCCCGGAAACCGCAAAGGATGAGATCAAGTTGTGGTTCAAGCCGGAAGAACTGGTTAACTACACGAGCAATGCCGAGAAGTGGATCTACGGAAACAATTGACGACGATGATGATCATTTCCACCCCTTCCTATTGAATTTTCTTTCTCCAGCTTTCTTCCAGGGTGATTAGAAGATGCCACACTAGATTGTGGTTAGAAGCAGAGGATTTTCTAGAATAAAAAACTGTTACTTCAGCCTTTAGGATCAATAGGTTTTCTTTTAATCATATGCGGTTTGAATACTTCCCTTGAGAGTTAAGCATTCAGGAATAAAGAATCTGAGTCTGTCATCAATTGTTATGTTCTTCATGCCCTCTACTTTGCCTTCCATTTTGTAGATCACCTTTGTCGACATTTTAGCGGTCCATTGCTATTAACTCTGCCCCTGTAGGGGGTGGTAATTGGTTTTTGGTTAATCGATAATGAAACCGACAATGACAGTATAGATTAAATCGATAACGAATAAAAGGTTCGGTTAAATTAATAACAAGTGGAAGGTTCAGTTTCATTGGCTGATATTTGTATTTCGGTTAATCGATAACTGAACTGACAACGACGATTATCGCTTAAATTGGTAACTTATTGGTTTGGTTTCCTAATTTTAACAGATGGAATGGAATAAGCGGTAAACCGTAAACCTAACAAACGCAGCAAAACTCCCGGCCTGGCCTGCTATATATACGCAGTTACACGCGCGCGTGTCTCCCCCATCCTCTATCAACTCGTCCATTTGGTCGCTTCTCGCCGAAGAATCGTTGTTTTGCTACTGCGAAGAAGGAAGCATTAGAAGTGCTCTCGTGCTTTGGAGCTGCTTCACGGAGCGCTTAGCCCCAACCCTAACCCTAAACTCTGGTCAAATTTCTCCCGTCGGTCTCCAGCTTTCTCTCTCGCAACCGTCCTTCGGTTTAAGCCTCCCTCGCGAAACTGGTACGTTCTGGCCAATTTGATTCCATGCTTTGCGTTTGTGGCCATCCTGACTGGTTTCGTGTGGCGAATGTCCGTCCGTTTGGTTGAATCGTTCGTCGTGTGATGGTCAGTGTAGTGTCGTCTCTGGTTCGTAACCCTAATCCTATTAGCTTTTAGGACGAGAAGGGAATCTGTTGCTTTTTGGGGGGTTTGCCGTGGACGAATTAAGTGTAAGTAGATTGTTTTCTTGAGTTCTTGGAGCTCTCCGGCTGCGGAAGTAGTTTGTTTATGCTATATTGAAGAGCTGGTTCCTCGAGTAGATGCCAATGCGGTGATGGGCATGGCCTTAGCTGATTGTTGATTGATATATTCGATAATTATTCAGTTTGTAAGTCTACTAGGGTTTGTTGTGCTTATGGCTGTGGATTGGGATTTTAGAACTGAATCTCATTCCTGAAATAATCACAGGGAGTTATAGTAAGTAGACATGGTCGGTTCTGATTCAAGGGTGGTTAGCTTTTCTGGCTTTGCATGCGTCCTTCTTGCTCTTTAGGACTGGAAACCTGGCACTTCCTTGTGGATCTGTTTCTATGTGTTATTTCCAAGTATTGGAAGTTCCAATGGTTGCATAGTATGCTAGTTTCTATGCGTGACCGGGTTTTGTATCCCTTTTTACCCCAGATGGCGACCAAACCACTCACCCATGAAGAGATCGCCAATACAGAGAAGAAACTGGACATGCCCTTAGGTATGTCAATCTTGAATTAGCGATTGGATTGAGTTTCAGTTGTAAAGTTATAAATTGCTCATGATCATGACCTGTTCTTGTTGTTCTGTATTAGATGACATCATTAAAATGTCAAAGACTTCTACTGCAAAGCCAAACAAGCAACGCAGGGCTCCGGTAAGAAACTCAGTTTATGACAAACTGTCCTTCGTGTTTGGTCCTATGAGATTGCTGTTGGATTTGCTAACCTGACAACTATTGTCTGTCTGTAGAACAAAAACCAGAGGATGTTTAACAATTCTGCTCAAGAAAAAGCCTTGAAGGTGCAGAAATATATGGCCTCTAGGCCGTTTGTTCGACAGGTATTCATCTTCTGTAACAATTCTATGAGCTCGTCCTGTGTCCTGCATTGTCTTATGTTAATCAGTGGGTTGCATTTATTCAAACTTGGTGATCAGGGGGCTTTAGCTCAGAGGAGGTCAAATTTCCAGGGTAACCATTTTCCTATAGCAAAAGATATTGCACAAAAGGCTGCAGTTGCTCCCCTTCGTAATAGACCGTTCGAGCGTAATTTGATGTCCAATCCAAACAAAGCAAGGTATTCTTTAGCTCTTATCTCAGGATTCTGCAGTCGTGCTACCAGCTATGAACGCTATGCAATGGTCTAGAAATTTATATTTAATATCATCTATTCACACTCTCATCACTGAATCATGGACTTATTTCAGGTAATTCAATTATCTGTGGCATGTGGTATTCAGGTTAAATGTTGGGTACCGCCAAGTAGTATTGTGATACTTCCGTTCATGATTGGTCATGTTAAAGTGGCAGTATTGGGTTTGTGCTAGTATTGATGATTTTACGCCAGCATCACCCACAATGGATTGCCTAATTGGTTGGTGTTAAGCATTGGTTTTGGATTGTGTTCCCCATGACCTGGGTAGTTAGTGGAGCAAGTGGATCTATTTTAGTAGTGATGTTTTGGTTGAAGGAAACAAGTTATGAAGGCAAACTAATTTTACCTAGAGTCTCTTTGGCTGTTTGTTGGTTACGGAAGTGTTGCATGTGATGCTGAAGAGAGTTTACATGGAAGTAATCTGTCTCAACTGCACAGATTAATGATAAGATCAAAGTTTCTGATTGGTACTTCATCTCCAATAACTGCCTATTGGAAGAGTTGAAGGGGTAGATGTGGTTTCTCATCTGGACACATCTTCAACCCATTTTCACTACTATTTGGTCAGCCTGGTGGTCTAAAACATGTCAACCTCTATGTTTACGGTTGCATAGCTTTTCACCTTGTGGCAAGATCTTCAGATTTTCCTTTGGTCATCATCTGAGATTGGTCACAATGCTGCATTCGTTCTTCCCATCTGCTCTTATTCACCCCTAGAGTTAAGGGTCACCTGAATTCAATGGGAACAAAATGTGGTTCAGCCTGAATAAGTTTTTTAAATGGCACCAACAAAAATGAAGTCCAACTCCTTCCATTCACTTCAGCACTTGTGCATGTTGGTCAGAATGATTCTTCCAAAGATCCTTCTCATGCGAGTCAGCTCTGATGGCTCAAATCCCGATTGGCATTGTTGGGGTTTAGTTGTGGTGAAGGTCTTCTATGTAGTGACAGATATTGGTTGGTTGAAGGGCGATTGTTTAAGTTTCATTTCACGACAGATTATTGGTTGTGGGGAGTTCTGGTTTGTGTCTCTACTCTGGTTGTTGTGAAGTTTGAGCATGTTATTTGGTGGGAGGTTCTGTGTAGGGTGCACTTGCCAGGAAAAGCTTCTCTGATTCTGGGGGCGCTTGCTTCTCAAGCTTTGAGATATGTTCATGAACTCCTGCTAGGCACAGTACTTCAATATGTTTTTGGGATCACTACTCTATGGAAGTTTTTTCAGGCATGCTATTTCAACAAGGCCTCCAAATTTGAGTCCCTAGTCGGGATTGTAAATCTATTTTTGAAATTGAAAAGATTGGCAAATCTGCGACCTGGGGCTTCATTTTAAATTTGTGTTGAAAAAGGTTGTATTTGGATTCATTTGGATGTATGTAAGTCACCTGAGTAAGACTTGGGCCTCATTATTGCGAGAGCTTCTCCAGTGCCTGGTTATGTGGCAGTTGACATCTGTATTTGTTCTTGGAGAAGAAGCTTGGTTTTCCTGTAGGTATTTGTCTTTCTGGTATCCATCTTCATCCTGGAGTCAATTCTTTCTTTGTAATGTTGTGCATGCAGGGAGGGGTCTTTCATGGTAAGGAGGGGTGAAAATGGTGCTTTCACTGCAAAGGTACTGTCTCTTAAGTAAATTTTTTGTGTGTGTGTCTCCCTGTTGAACTACTCCTAGACGAATGTTTTGCTAAAGCAGTGCTGAAACCAATAATCAGAGAAAATAAAGTAACCATGAACATGGTATTGACTTTGCGACTTTTGTCTGTGCTCTTTTGCCAGCCACCTCAAAGCCAACAGCAGCATGGGAATGGAGGCATGAAGCAGAGGCCACAGACTCTGGATGCTATGTTTGCTAATATGAAGGAGCAAAGGATGAGGGCCTTGGTGCAGCAGAACAATGCTGTGCGACATAACAATGGCGTGCAGCAGCAGAACAATGCTGTAAGACATAACAATGGTGCGCGTGCGCGGCAGAACAGTGGCGTACGACAGAACAATAACAATTGGGGACAACGGAATCGGAACACCAGCAGAATAGGGGTTCCATGGGCAAGGAATCATTTTTCTTGAGCCAGTCAGCGCTATTGAAGGAACCCATCACAACGTTGAGGTGTTCCATTCTAGTTCTTTTGTACATGGTTTTCTGACTTTCTCCCCTATTGACTTGAATGCTGCGGGAAGTAGATGATAATGCTGTTGTTAGCTGTTTGGTTTGTACTTCTGTCGTCAGGTTCTGTTTTCCATTTGCTTGTAAACCATACTCTTTTCTTCTCAGTCCTCTCTATTCATTCGAGCTGGAGATTTGTCAGTTTAGTCCATTTTTTCGGCAGTTGAAAGGCCTTTTCCGAATTCATACATCCATATTATGCATGTATATTTGCATAATAATATATGCATAAATTGGTATATAGTAGTATACATGGTAGCTATTTAAATAAGTTATATTACCTATTAGTATTTGAATAAGTTATATTAGTTTTTTGGGTAGAATATCACTTTGTTTTTAATAAAAAAAAATACATAAAAACGTAGGGACATAGTTGGAAGGAAAAAAAATTCATAAAAATTAGTGATAATTTGTGTTATTAAGCAAACAATATAATATATATGAATTGTTCGGGCAGAAAAATTTTAAAAAAAATATATTGTAGACATACGTGCATTGTAACTTTTTCAACCAAACTATCACTGATTTGTTAGTTTAGTTCATATATTTTCAGTGGTTGAAAGGCCTTTTCCGAATCATGGCAAAAACTTTATCGATGCATGTATAATAATATACATATGTATATAAGAAAATTGATTGTTTGGTTTTGTGATACCTATTGTAGTATTGAAATAATTTATATTACCTTTTGGTGAGTTGTCACATTTACTCTTTGTTTTTAATATAAAAAAAAAAGAACACATAAAAAAGTAGGGACATACTTGGAAGAAAAAAAAATAGTGATAGTTTGTGTCATATCAAGCAAACAATATATGAATTGTTTGTAAAAAAAATTAAAAAAATGATATATTGTAGACAATGCGTGCATTGTAACTATTTGAACCAAAGTATATGCAACATATAGTTGGTTGTAGCTCAATTGGTAGAGTACTCGGATATAACATATGTTGGTTGAAATGTCATTAAATTAATAAAAATATTTAATGTCAAGATTAATGTCAAGGGGCTGTAGGTTAATTGGTAGAGTACTCGGATAGTTCACGAGAGGTACGGGGTTTGATTCCTCGCAGCTCCACTTGTTTTTTGTTCACCATAGGTAACGGGGTTTGATTCCTCGCAACACTACTAGTTTTTCTTCTCACTCTAGGCTGCTGCTCCTTACTTTTCGAAGTTCCGCGACGCTTCTCTTCCAACCAATTCGCGAGAGGTACGGGGTTCAATTCCTCGCAACTCCACTTGTCTTCTGTTTTCACTCCAGGGTGCCACTCTGATTCGGGTATGATTGTACATGTTTTATCCTCCTTTTACCTTGGATGTTTGAGGCATTTATGCTCCGTAAGGTTGGTTTTACGCTAGGTTGTGTCTTGTTTTAGTACGTTTCAGATTCTAGCAGGTGAAATCGACCCCAGAGTCGAAAGTTGGACGAAAAGGAGCAAAAACGGGTCAAAGGATGGATGCAGCTGACTGAGGATCACGGCGGGAGCAGAGAGTTCACGGTCAGACAGACGGTGAAAAGGGAGCTCACGGTCTCTCTAGAGTCCAACCAGTTCACGGTCACTCAACCGTGAACTGAGCTCTTTGACCGTGAACCGCCAAGCGTCCAGAGCAGCTCTCACGTCTCAATGGAACCAAGCCATTTCACGGTCGCTAAGACCGTGAACTTAAGCCATAGACCGTGAAGAGACTTAATGAAGCAGTGCGTTTTTGTTCGAGACCATGGTCCCCGCCATATGTTCACGACCGTGAAATGGGACCGTGAATCGAGCTCGACCTGGGTATAAAAGGAGGGCTGAACTGAAGGAGAAAAGGGAGGGGGGGGGGGCTAGAGTGAGAACGTCTTCTTCTTCTTCAACATTCTAGAGAGAGAAACTGACGAGCAAGAAGGGAGAAGAGGCTAGGGTTTCACTCCAAGGCAAGGATTTGAGAAAATCTTCCCCAAAGGAAGATCTCTACTGCCCAAGGAACGATTCAAGCATCTCCATTATGGTTTTTCTTCTTTCTCCTTGTGTTTTCTCTCTCCTAGCATGGAGTAGTGGCCCTTTTCACTTGGATGTTTGTGAACCCTAACTTCTACCATGTGAATGATTGTATGGAATGATTGATTATGTGTTGGTGTGTTTTAATATGAGTTTGGAGGTATTTTCATGGAAGATTGTGTTGTGTGTTTGCCTATCAATCTATTTGCCATTCTAACCTAGGTAGAGAGAAAACCCCCTTTTTGATAAGATGCTTGTAAAGTTGGATTTTCTTAGACAATTCATGTCTCCTATCTAGGTTAAAGTAGGGCAACTCTCCTTATTCATGTTAGCACCTAGGTTGGTTGTGTTTTGGCCGTTCCGATTCGAGGGAGAAGAATTGACAACCCTTAGTCGATTAGGCCAAGAGAGCTACCTTGGTAGCTTAATCCGAATTCCTTGGCATAGAGACCGAGAGAGTGATATTACATCACTTGCTGCACTTCCCTACAGTTCGCAACCACCTCCACCAAACGTTTTCATTCGATCCGACGAGTCATGGTAGCTAGTTAGGGGGAGATACACCTGAGTGAATCCTTCTCATTTAGTGTCAAAACCAATTGCTTTTACAATCGTTTAAATTATAGATCGTAGTTTTCAACCAACACCCAATCGCTAGATAATGTTTCAAACAATCGAAGTAGGGGTACATGTACCGACCCGGGTTAACATACTTGTCCTATATTGCACCCAATTAAGATTTATACTTGGGCCTTAATTTGGATTTTTATTGTGATATTCGGGACGACTCCTCACTTCTCAAAGCTCTGCAACGCTTCTCTTCCAACCGACAGTCTCCTTTCTCCCCTACTTGCCATCGGCGCCGCGTTAGTCGCCTCTTCAAACGCCACTAAAATTAATAAAACTTTTTTATGTAAAGATTGACATCAAGGGGTTGTAGCTCAATAGGTAGAGTGCTCACATCGCTTTGCGAGTAGTATGGTGTTTGATTCCTTGCAACTCAACTTGTTTTTTGTTCTCACTCCAGGCTGCCGCTCTTCACTTCTCGAAGCTCCGCGATGCTTCTCTTCCAACCAATTGGCGAGAGGTACAGGGTTCGATTCCCTGCAACTCTACTTGTTTTTTTGTTCTCACTCCAGGCTGCCGCTCCTCACTTCTTGAAACTCCGCGACGCTTCTCTTCCAACCAATGCTCTCCTTTCTCTCCTACTTGCCATCGGCGCCGGGTTAGTCGCCTCTTCAAAAGCCATTTAATTTAATAAAAAAATTTAATGTGAAATTGACATTGATGGGATGTAGCTCAATTGGTAGAGTGCTTACATTGCTTCGCAAGAGTTACGAGGTTCTATTCCTTGTAGCTCCACTTGTTTTTTGTTCTAACTCTAGGTTGGCGCTCTTCACTTCTCGAAGATCCGCGACGCTTATCTTCCAACCAACTCGCAAGAGCTCGATTCCTTGCAACTCCACTTGTTTTTTTGTTCTCACTCTAGGCTGCCGCTCCTCACTTTTCTAAGATCCGCGACGCTTCTCCTCCAACCAACACTTTCTTTTCTCTTTTACTTGCCATCGGCACCAGGTTAGTCGCCTCTTAAAACACCATTAATTGTAATATAACTTTTTAATGTGAAAATGGCATCAAGGGGTTGGAGCTCAAATGGTAGAGTGCTCGCATCACTTTGCGAGAGGTACGGGGTTTGATTTCTCGCAGCCCACTTATTTTTTGGTTTTTGTTTGGCAATTTATGATGTAATGGAACTGAGTCTAGGCTTATGCTTACCTAGTTGTTAGTGAGAATGGCGGTTTGGTTTAGAGATGAAGATGGTTGGACCAGAGGTTAGTGTTTACAAGGCGTTAGTGCGGGGCCTTGCTGCGTCGTTGAAGGTCTTAGATGCGCTTAGAACGATTGAAGGTATCAAATGCGCTTATAACGATTTGATTACTCGCAGCTCCACTTGTTTTTTGTTCTCACTCCATGCTGTCGCTCCTCACTTCTCGAAGCTCCGCGACGCTTCTCTTCCAACCGCTTCGCGAGAGGTATGAGGTTCGATTCCTTGCAGCTCCTCTTGTTTTTTGTTCTCACTCCATGTTGCCGCTCCTCACTTCTTGAAGCTCCGTGAAGCTTCTCTTCCAACCAACGCTCTCCTTTCTCTCCTACTTGCCATTGGCGTCGTGTTAGTCGCCTCTTCTTACGCCATTAAATTTAATACAAAAATTTAATGTGAAAATTGGCATCAAGGGACTGTAACTCAATTGGTAGAGTACTCACAAAGCTTGCGAGAGGTACGGGGTTCGATTCCTCGTAGCTCCATTTATTTTTTGGTTTCTGTTTGACAATTTATAATGTGATGGAACTGAGCCTCGACTTATGCGGTAGAGACCAGAGGTTAGTGTTTATACGGGGGCCTTGCAGCGTCCGATTTATGAGAGTTGCTCTATTCCGAGGCTGCTTCTCAAGTCAGCGACGATTTTTATAACCTTGTGAGGATTTGTAGGTACATTTCGGGAAGGTCGTTCGGTGTCCGACTTGTTTGGCTGCTGTTGCAGTTGCACAACCACAACATGGTGTTCATGTAATGCAATACTCAAACTTAGTGGCGCCTATCTCAGATTTTGGAATAATGTTTCCCCCTTGTAGGGGTGGAGTTTCGGTTAGTTCGGTTATAACCGGTAACCGAACGGTCAGTTATTGGTTAACCGAACTGCCGGCCCCCCTTACCGACAACCGACCGAAATAGAGATTTAGACTTCGGTTATCTCAATTTTCGGTTAACTGAGCCACTTCCAAGACCAAAATCATCTCGGCCATCCTCCGAACACCGATCGATTTCGGTCATCTCATTCTCGGTTACGGTTAGTGAATAACCGGCTGGTTATTGGTTTAACCAGCCGGTTAACCAGTAACCGAACCTCCACCCCTACCCCTTTTAGATTATAAGTATACATGCAGGCATGTAACGTGGACATACCTGAGGTGAAATACATGGTTTTCGTACCTGATTATGACAAAAAGAAGATGAATTGTAGGAGACAATGTATTCTAAGAATCATTGGGGCAATTCCTGAAATCAACCCCTTGATCTTATTGCTTGGATTTCATATTATATATTCATTTATTTTTTTGGTAGAACCAGCTGTGGAGTAAAGCTGGTACTATCATATAATATGATATGAAATCCAAGCAATAATATGAAATATCAGTTTCTTGTTTCGAGTGAGTGACGCAGAGAGAAGAAAAG